AACCAATCACATAAATGATAGGATAAAACAAAGGGTAATACACAAAACCCATCACATAAACGATAGGATAAAACAAAGGGTAATACACAAAACCCATCACAAAAACGATAGGATAAAACAAAGGGTAATACACAAAACCCATCAAAAAAACGATAGGATAAAACAAAGGGTAATACACAAAACCCATCACAAAAACGATAAGATAAAACAAAGGGTAATACACAAAACCTAACCCAAAACCATTAGATAAAAATAGGTTAAACACAAAACCTATCATACTTTAGTCTGGGAGAACATGATTTATTTATATTTATAGATTATCGTTGATCATCTCAACGAGATTAATTTTCTCGCTTGAGCCGGGACGGCGAAAGTGAGAAAAGCAATCGAGTTGAGTTGACCAACGATACTCTGTTTATCGCTATTTTACCCATCACAAAAACGATAGGATAAAACAAAGGGAATACACAAAACCAATCACATAAACGATAAGATAAATTAAGGGTAATACACAATACCTATCACAAAAACTATAGGATAAAACAACCCATCACATAAATGATAGGATAAAACAAAGGGAATACACAAAACCAATCACATAAATGATAGGATAAAACAAAAGGTAATACACAAAACCCATCACAAAAACGATAGGATAAAACAAAGGGTAATACACGAAACCCATCACAAAAACGATAGGATAAAACAAAGGGTAATACACAAAACCCATCACAACAACGATAGGATAAAACAAAGGGTAATACACAAAACTTATCACAAAAACAAAAGGATAAAACAAAGGGAATACTCAAAACCCATCACATAAACGATAGGATAAAACAAAAGGGAATACACAAAACCCATCACATAAACGATAGGATAAAACAAAAGATAATACACAAAACCCATCACAAAAACGATAGGATAAAACAAAGAGTAATACACAAAACCCATCACAAAAACGATAGGATAAAACAAAGGGAATACACAAAACCAATCACATAAATGATAGGATAAAACAAAGGGTAAAACACAAAACCCATCACATAAACGATAGGATAAAACAAAGGGTAATACACAAAACCCATCACAAAAACGATAGGATAAAACAAAGGGTAATACACAAAACCCATCACAAAAACGATAGGATAATACAAAGGGTAATACACAAAACCCATCACAAAAAAGATAGGATAAAACAAAGGGTAATACACAAAACCTAACCCAAAACCATTAGATAAAAATAGGTTAAACACAAAACCTATCATACTTTAGTCTGGGAGAACATGATTTATTTATATTTATAGATTATCGTTGATCATCTCAACGAGATTAATTTTCTCGCTTGAGCCGGTGCGGCGAAAATGAGAATAGCAATCGAGTTGAGTTGACCAACGATACTCTGTTTATCGCTATTTTACCTATGACGACGTTGTCAATTTCATTTCAATTTCATTAGCAACGCCACGTGCCCCCTTAGTTTCTAGCGATAATTTTTCTTATCATATACTTGTATAAAATATTACTTAAATTTTACAGTTCAATAACATTTGAAAACAATTAAAACGCTATGAAAGGGTTATTAACCAGATTCCTAAGAATTTCCTCGGCGGGCTGATAAACGAACCTTTATTGACTGCTTCCGGAATGTTATCACATGCCTTTCCGTTATTGTCCGTGTGGTTTATCACATGCAACTTCGTGCATTTCCGGAAATTTGTTTGTAAACATTGCAGACGTGACAATAAGTTTTTCAAACTAAGAACATTATAATTGTTGTGATATGTCACATGATAAATGAAATGCTCGTTATATCAATAAAAACAATTAAAGTTAATAAATTTGTATTTGATTGTCTGTAAATCATTATCTAGAAGTTCAAAAAAAATTTAATAGTTCTTGTCTGTATTTCTTCTGCTGAAGTATATGATAAAAAGATCATTACATGTCATTTTTCATATCAGACCCCTTATCGGCCCTCGTTCATGATATCATCCCTCGAGCCTCCGGCTCTTGGGCTGATATCATGACCTAGGGCCGATAAAGGGTCTGATATGAAAAATGCCATATAATAATCTATACATATCACTCGACTCCGCTGAGAAAGGAAATTATCAGTCAGCAAGATCAAAGGAAAATTTCGTAAAATAGCGATAATAGTAGTTATTGGCTTTGAACTAGTTTTAAGTAACTTCGAGTACTATAATGTCGGTGGTTTGTGCCTTGTAACATTATTTTGAGTTGAGCCAATTGCAACTGATTTTACAGTTTGTTCTTATGTTGTGCTGTTTCACCACTGTTCCAGGTTAGGGAAGAGTTAAGAGCTCATAAACATGTTTAACCCCGTCACATTTTTTATGAGCCTGTCCCAAGTCAGGAGCCTGTAGTTCAGTGTTTGACGTTAGTTCATGTCTGTAATATTTTTTCTCCGTTACTTGTTTTTCTCCGTTAATTGTTTAGTAATGAATTAGTTCGTTAGTTTTCTCGTTTGAATTGTTTTTCATGTCTGGGCTCTTTATGGCAGACTATACGGTATGCGATTTTCCCATTGTTGAAAACCTAACGGTTGCCTATAATTGCTTATATCACCTTCCTTTAAACTATGGTGGATAGTTGTCTCATTGACAGTCATACCACATCTCCTTATTTTTATATAGTGTTGTTGTTTTCCTTATTAACTGCAGAAGAGGTTCATTTGTCATAAAAAGAGGCTTTAACTGCCAAATTCATCAACACTGAATTCACTCAACTCTCAAATCTCATATAACTTACTAAAACATTTGTCAGAATTACAAAATCCATAAGTACCAATAGACACTATAATTTATGGGATTGTTATAAAGTTTGTATTTATTTCAGGTGCCGAATTTAGCCATTAAAGAATGCACTAATTTTACAGATATGTCGGGGAAGGATTTTATCAACCCTCGTAAAAATGAGAGTCTCGTGGATGGATACAAGCAAAACGCAAAACCTGAAAAACAGTAACTACTACTATGAAATTATGACGTTCAATGATTCTTTTACGAAATATTTTACTTAACGGGTTTATCTGTTCCTAATCAGATATATCAGCTACTCCACGGATAACATTCCAAATATTGTTAGATAAACTTTCTTTATACTACAGGAGGTGGAATGTAACTGTAAATACGGACAAAACAAAAATCATTGTATTTCTAAATAGCTGGAAGCCCGTAATTCATCATTTTTATTTCGAAGGTCAAAATTTAGAAATCGTCAACTCATATATATATCTTGGTATGTTTTTACATTTCAATGGTAAATTTGTTCAAACTCAAAAAAGAATGGCACAACTAGGAGCTAGAACACTTTCATCTTTAATTAACTCATCGAAAAGAATATTGATTGCACCAAACCAAAAGTGTTTTCTATTCAATAGTAATATGGTTGAATCTGTTCTGAACTATGCGTCCGAGGTATGGGGATTTCATCGGGCCAACGATGTAGAATCTACTCATAATCGTTTTTGTCGCTATTTACTCAACTTGGGTAAACCTGTACCAATTTCATTTTATGTTGAGAACTCGGGCACCTCCCGATGTGTATTTTAAGAAAATATAGAATTGTTAAATATTAGTTGCATTTAGTTTATGATCAACCTAATATTGTTTACGATGTATACAAAATTTTATGCATTGATGCTTTTAATGTGAAAAAAAAATGGGAATCCAATGTACGAGACCTTTTGTTTAGTTTAGGTTTGATTTATATATGGATTAACCAATATAACATAAATGTTTCATTTGATTTTATTAAATCTCGTATCAACGATCAATATTATCAAAGCTGGTATGTTTTAAACTACATCTCTGTATTACTGAAAAATTATTACACCAGGGGTTTCGATATCACAAACTTGTCAATACATTTACTAAATTTTATCATCGGTACAAGGACATCTTTCGTAAATATATATTAACGTGCAGACTTATACGTTCAGGTATTTCACATCCCATCTTTTATTGAAATATTTTATACAAAGCACAAAAATGTCATAATTCACCTCAAAAGCTAACCAAACCTTTAAACAGACTTATTCGGAATGGATATAGTTACGATACTGTTGTCAGGTCATAATTGCTAGTAGTCCTTTGTTAATTCATGTATATTATTGTCATTTTGCTTAGTTACCTATCCTAACATCGGACTAGGACTTCTTTTAAACTGAATTTTGCTGTGCGTATTGCTGTGTGTTTGTTTATTCCACATTGGCTTGAGGTATAGGGGGAGGGTTGAGATCTCACAAAACATGTTTAACCTCGCCGCATTTTTGCGCCTGTCCCAAGTCAGGAACCTCTGGCCTTTGTTAGTCTTGTATGTTTTTTGATTTTTTTTTCATTTATATGTTTCGGAGTTTAGTGTGACGTCCATTTTCGCTAAACTAGTATACATTATTGTTTAGGGGCCAGCTGAAGCCCGCCTCCGGGTGCGGGATTTTCTCGCTGTGTTGAAGACCCACCGGTGGCCTTGGGCTGTTTTCTGCTCTTTGGTCGGGTTTTTCTCTCTTTGACGCATTCCCCATTTCCATACTCAATTTTAGATTTTTGTAGGGAGAATAATTTGCAATATGATTTTAATACCAATAAACTTACCAAATTACGTAGTGGAAGTTTAAAATTAAATTTAGAAACAGGTCGTTATGACAATATTCCTAGAATAAATCGTATTTTTAGATTTTGTAAAATTAACAATATTGAGGTGAATACCATTTTGAGTTGATTTGTCCTGTATATAGAACGTTCCGATGTAACTTTTTGCAAAAATATTATTGTTCATGGCCAAATACGTGTACGAAAGCTATTTTTTTGTTACAAGCCTGGTCAAAACGCTTAGCAAAGAAACTATGTAATTATTTAAAGGCGGCATGGAAATTAAGAACGCAATATATCAGTTAAGATGTTGTACAAATGTTATTATAAGATATCTCTGCATTAAATATTTTTCTCTGTATTCTGTCGTATTTGTCATATATGTATATACCTTGTTATTTTGCTAAAGCAATGTTGTTGTTCATTCATTCATTCAATTCCACATTGTTTCGCAAATTATTAAAAACAGAGGCGATTATTCAAATTGTTGATACGATTTAATTCATTAAAAGCTGATTATTTTAATCTAGTAATGCAAATAATTAGTTTTTTTTGCATTATAATATAACTAGCAAATGCTGGGACCAATTGATAATTCATTAGTCCCAGTCAAAAGTATACAATATACAATATTAACTGGACGATTTCCTTTATTAACTTTAACGTGATTGGTATTTATAATACACTGTATTAGCAATAGATGAATAAGACCATGTATATAAATTACTGAGATATCGCATGTGTCTTTACTTTAGTTTTGTAGTTGTTTCCAACCGTCGATTATTGAGTGATAGGATTTATAGTCTGGACTCGATAATTTATTTTTCAAATTAGAACCGGAAGTATAAAATGGCATAAATTCACTGTTATGCACAACGTTTATCTTAAGTAGCTTTGCAAGTATTCCTATGAAAGCATCTTCCATTTTGATAATTTTTGTAAAAGGTATGGCATAAGCAAGATTTTTGACTACTTTCATATTCGTGAGTATTGTTCCTCCAATTACATATGGCGGCCAAAAATCGAAAGGATATTCTTCTAAGGTCGTAAACCATTTCGAAGATTTTGTTCGAAACGGTTGTCTAAATCTCAGTTTGTAGCCAATGATTTTACTTTCTGTATTACCAAGACTATCAACAGCAAATTGATGTAAACGTCTGGTATTAACTAAACGATCATCATCTAGAAAATGCACATATTTTGTATTTATATTACGTTTCACTAACCAATCGATTGGAATAATCGTTTTATATACTAGATTATCGTATGTGTCAGCGAAACCAAACTGGAGAATATCGCCATATGCTTCATTTTCAAAATCAACGAGCGGTTGTAACCTTTCTAGATATCCTAAAACGAACAGCGTTTTTATACGTAGATTTATCTTTGCTCCCCAAGTGTTCCGAATGGCGATCCTCTGGTCAAAATTGCCCACAAATGACTTGACAATAAAAACCATATTAAAACTATCACATACTTCACTGCTACAAAACTTTATGGATGGATCTTTCTTAATGAAATAATGTTTAGTAACATTGTTCAATGGCTTTTCTGCAGTCCAACCAGTTGTCTCGATTTCTTGAACAACATCGATTAAATTGTTTAATGGGAATGTAAACTGGATAAAGTAAAACTTTTCTCCGGTCCAGCATCTTCTCAACATCAAAATTACAAGAAGTATGCAAAATATATGCAGCCATTTTTTTAATCTGAAAAAAAAAAGATTTCTATGACATTATATGGCATTTCATGATGATTTTACTTTTTCGTAATTTTTTGCTTTCATAAATCAATCAAATATTAATCAATCTAAAAATATCATTCAATCTTATCTTAATTTTTTAGTTAGTGTGCCTAATTATATATGAGCTTTTGCTCTCAGAAGGGGTTGTCGTGAATTTTTAGAAAAAAGGTTGACTAGAACCAAGCTGAACACAATCATCCTTTTGGGTGTTGATATAATAATAAGATGTGGCACAACTCTCCACCAGACTAAATGAAATACAACCTTCAACAATGAGCAAAATCTATACCACACAGCAAGCTATATTAAGTCAGGGATTTCGTTACCACAAATTACTTAAAACCTTTACTAAATTCTTCCATAAATATAAAGATTTGGTTTTGAAGTTTGGTTGTACCTGTAGAAAACTTATTTCAAACGGGATAGCACATCCTCATTTTTACGGAGATGGTGTTTACCGAGCCCGGAAATTTGGAAACGATCCGGGTAAACTTATCGATCCTTTAAATAAACTTATTCTAAAAGGTTACCAGTTCAACACTGTAATTAGATCTTTTAAGTCTCACTAAAGAGCTTGGAATAATCAGCGCAACTGGTAATCCTACATATTCTTTAACATCATTTACAAAGGATGAAATTTTATAAAATCACAAATCTGTCCTTCTTTCATTTGGTATTAACATCAAAGAAAACGAAGAAAATCTACCGTCATTATGCTGGATACCAAAACTTCACAAAACTCCGTTTAAAGAACGATACATAGCTGAATCACCAAGATGTTAGACTAAACATCTTTCTAAAGTGTTGACTTCTATTATTTCTACAGTAAAGATGGCCTTCAAAAATATTGTGATGAGATATATTCAACCAGTGGTGTCAATCAAATGTGGATTCTCAAAAATTTTAAAGATCTACAGCTAAATCTTAGATCACAATCTCTGCAATTTTGCAGCAACATTAAGACCTTTGATTTTTCTACGCTTTACACTACTATTCCCCATACTCAATTGAAAGATCGACTTCACCATCTCATTAAACAGAACTTTCTCTATAAAAATGGGAATCGTAGATATAAATTTCTTGTTTTGGGTTATAATAATTCTTATTTTGTGAAGAACCACACTGATTCTATCAGAAAATACAGTGAAGATGATATCAAAATGCTGGACTTTTTAATCGACAATATATATTTGTTGAGTTTTGAGGACTGATATTTCAAAAGACAGTCGGTATTCCAATTGGTACTAATTGTGCACCCCTTCTGGCCGACTTGTTTTTGTACTCGTATGGAGTAGGATTCATTCAGAACCTTCTAAAAGGCAAAAAGAAAAAGCACCTTGCAAAATTATTTTATTTTACTTTCAGATATATTGATGATGTCCTATCACTGAATACTAGTAACCCATATTTCAGTCAGCACTTGCATCTCATATATCCCAGTGAATTTGAAATTAAGGATACTACTGATACAAGAAGGACTGCTTCATACCTTGATCTTTTTCTCAATATTGACACAGATGGACGACTTCACACTAAAATCTATGACAAACGGGATGATTTCAATTTCCCAATTATCAATTTCCCATTTCTCAGCAGTAACATACCCTCTGCTCCGTCGTATGGTGTTTACATATCCCAATTGATACGTTATGCTCGTGCATGTTCACAATATACTGACTTCATATACAGGAGTGTGCTCCTTACGCAGAAACTGCTCCAACAGAGTTATGAAGAGGAAAGATTAAAAATGACACTCTGTAAATTTTATGGACACCATCACGAATTGGTTGACCTATACGATGTGTCTGTGTCTAAACTAACTAATGTCATTTTTACCACGCCTTAGATTGTGGTTTAACATTTACGTCGTCTGTCTGCTAAGTACCGAACGTGACCTATTCCCGAATATGACTGCTATACCGAGTGTGAATTTGCATTGCTATACGACGTGTCTCGGTATTTTGTACATCCAACATTCATGTATTTATTTTTGATGTTTCTGTTATGGTTTCGGTTGGATAAGGATAATGTGTTATGTCTTATCGTTTGTAGTCCAAATAATTATAAAACAGCCTTTCAATACCATCATTGTCATGAAAATTGTTTGGAATGGTATTGTGAAATTAATTGTATAACGTTCGAGATTGCATGTTCGTTACGTAAATGCGTCACTGTTTGTGATGTCCTGTGGGGTCTGTCGTTGATGGAAGATGTTCGTTGTTGTTCTCGGTTTGCATGTTGTGTCGACTATTATATTATTTGTTTGTAAGTTTCTCTGTGATGAGTGTTCTTGCGTGTGTTTGTGCTGTATTTCTGGCACGTAGTGTTGTCATTTTAGCGATATTTTAACATTGTCATATAAGCGGGAGGTTTTGCTAGCCATAAAACGAGGTTCAACCCACCATTTTTTCTTAAAATCTCCTGTACCAAGTCAGGAACGTGGAAGTTGTTATCAAATAGTTCGTTTCTATGTATGTTGGCGTTTGTTTTTGTTGCTTTTCAGTGTTCCTGTTGTTCCATTGGTTTCCTCTTGTAGATGGTGTGTTTCCCTCGGTTTTAGTTTGTAACCCGGATTTGTTTTCTCTCAATCGATTTACGACTTTTGAACACGGTATACTACTGTTGCCTTTCTTTAATATTGTTTTATATTGGTATTAATATTGATTTTGTTATCGAACTAAATATTATTTGTATATACATATGCACATTCATGGCTCTACAATCTGTCGATACCTGTATCTTGGCATTGTACAAGGTCATATTTTTCTCTGACTGTTTATGGCGTCTTTACTCTAAATGCATTGGAAATTGGATGTGTACTGATTGATATTTTAGTCTAATAATATGCATGATTTTTTTTCATTAGCTTTTATTGGCTTTGAAGTAGCTGTCAGTAACTGCGAGTACTCTCAAATCTGTACTTAGTGTCTTTCTGTTGTGTGGATGTATAAGTATCCGTCCACGTCCACTCTGTGTTTTTTTAGAATTATTTCTATTTGTATCCATCTGATGAGTTAAGCCTTTTCGAACTGATTTTTATTGTTTGTTCTTATGTTGTACTGTGACACCACTGTCCCAGGTTAGGGGGAAGGTTAGCGCCTTCAAACGAGTTTAACCCCGCCACATTCTGTATGTGCCTGTCCCAAGTCAGAAGCCTGTAATTCAGTGGTTGTCGTTTGTTGCTGTGTAACATATTTGTTTTTTGTTCATTATTTTCTACATAAATTAGGCCGTTAGTTTTCTTGTTTGAATTGTTTTACATTTGTCAATTTGGGGCATTTTATAGCTGACTATGTAGTATGGGCTTTGCTCATTGTTGAAGGCCGTACGGTGACCTATAGTTGTTAATTTCTATGTCATTTGGTCTCTTGTGGAGAGTTGTCTCATTGGCAATCATACCAAATCTTCTTGGTAAGCGGACAGAAAGTCACAGGACAAAAAGTCACATGACAGAAAGTCACAAATTTGATAGGATTTGTTTGAATATATAGGAGAAATTTCTTGTAATAATTTCTTTTTATTACATATAGTCATTAAACAGCTTAGGAAATTGTTCATAAGCCTTGATAAATGAAGATTTATCAAATTTTAATCATGCAAAGAATATATTTATTGGCACAATAAAGTCATTTAAGTACCATGCCAACTTTATCATTGTTAATTTTGTTTACCAAGGTGCTTTCTATATAATAGTTCCAAGAAAAATACAAAAATGTTTTTCAAAATAAGTATTTTCTAATTCAAAGAAAACAAATCTCAAAACGGAATTGTGACTTTTTGTCCTGTGACTTTTTGTCCGTGACTTTTTGTCTCTGACTTTTTGTCCTGTGACTTTTCAATTTAGACTTGTTTATATTTTTTTGTTTGGGCTTGTATTATATTTGCCTTAGGGTTTATATAATCCGTTCATCCTATTTCGACTCTTCGAAATTCAAGAGTCAATCCTAAATGATGTAAATTATATGGCCTTCCAAATACCGTTTCGATTCCTAACATCACTGAAGAGACATTAGTTGTCGAAATCCGGATATAGTGTACAATTTTTTTTGCACCTCATGTTTGCGGTTTACAATCTTTTCCGCAACTTTATTGTTTTTTGTTTAGTATTAAATTCATAATTAAGATCCATTTTGTTACATCTGGTTATCCGTTTTTTTTGGCAATCACCATGGCAGTCAGCAGGGTTTAAGAACATCCGTTGTTCGACCTGCTAGTCAAATGCGTTTTGTTAAAATATACTTTATCACTTTTTTTGGTCTTTTGGAAAATGTTGTTTGTGCTGTATTTAGACCACTCTACCAAGAAATTTGTTTTGCATGCACGCGTATAAAAATTGCGGATTTTATCCAACGCAATTGTAGGTTTGAACGTTGTTTTCAATTTAGACTTTATATATATCTTAAAGGGATAAAAAAGATTAAGAAATTATTAAAATTGTTCTTCTGATCAGGGGTAAATATCTCCTGCTTGGAGCACACTCATTAAAAAGAGCACACCTGATCAGAGATCAATAAATTTTAAACAACATCCTTAAACTTAAATCACAAGGCCTTTTGAATTCAGTAGAAAAATAATACACGAGTTTAAAGAATTTTATTTTTACCTGTAAAATGCACCTGTATTGAGGTTATTAAACCTTATTAAGGTACTTCTTGTATGCCATGTCTTTAATTTTGACAAAACTTAATTAATCAACCTTAATTCTTACTGAAGCTTTGGAACACAATTTCTTTTTTAAAAGGTTTTCAAGGATTGCTATGGAAGTTCTTTAATATTAAATTCTTGGTGTAACAAAACAAGGGTGTCATTTTTGAAATTTATTAAGTTGTTTTATATACAAA